AACCCTCCGCTCCACCCTTCCTAGAAGAGAAGAATTTCCAATTACATCACTTGTTTAAATAAAATTAAAGTGGTTTCCTTGAAGATCTGTCTCACCCCTGTCACTATGACTTGCATGTTTTGTTTCCTATTACCTCATTGTGACCCAAGACTGGCTAGAAGTCTGAAGGTTGAGATTAGAAGACTATAATACTGATAGCTTGTTTTGTTTCAGACTAAGTAATGAGATATAGCCCCTGACTCAGATGAGTGCCAGGATTATAGGCATGCATCATTACACTTGGCTATTAATGGCCACACTGTGGACATTTAGGGAGGTGAGGATGATCTTGTTCTCAGGTTTCTGGAAAATAATGGTTACCAGGATATTAACAGTCAATGTTCCTCCAGTGCATGGCATTTAGTTGAAGGTTCTTAGTGTTGAAGGAGAGTTACAGTGCAAGGATGATCACTGGTCTCAGGGCAACTCCATATTGAAGCATCTAGAAATTGGAGAGTGAAGTATTCCTGTTTGAACTCTGGTGAAGTGGTGAGTCATCAGCAGTGATCAAGAGCAGGATTGAGATGAGATGCTAGGTCAGAAGGAAGGAGCTGAACACATCACTCCTTGGTAAAGCTACTACACCAAATGGTTTCTACATCATTCCATCCTGAAGACAGTAGAGAGCTTTGCACATTTTTCATCAAATATAGGCTGAGCTGAATGCTGGTGGCTCACACTTAGAATCCTAACAACTCAAGAGCTTGAGATCTGAGAATCAAGATTTGAAACCAGTCCTGGAGACTCTCATCTCTAATTAACCAGCAAAAAGCTGGAAGTGGAGACATGGACCAAGATATAAACCATCTGCTTTGAGCAAAAGAAAACGAAGTGGGTATAGGAGTGCCTGAATTAAAGCCCTAGTGCTAGCACACACATGCGCATGTGTACACACACACACACACACACAGGAGATTAGAAGTGATGGGTAGCTCTACTTGTAAGAAAAAAATTAGACATAATTTGCCTTTTTTTGGAGTGCTTGGAAGGATTTATGACAATTAGGATGTGTCCCGACCCGCAGGACTTCAACCAGGGCAATGAACCTAAGCGAGAAGGAATGAAGGGACAAGAGACACGAAGGACAGCAAGACAAGGATTCTGATCAAGCTGCCAAATTTTATTTTTCACACAGGGGTATTTATATGCTTAGAATAAGGAAGCTTTTTCATTGGGCATAGCAGCTGCAGGATGCTTGCTTAGGGCAATGTGAAAAGGTGGTCAATAGCAGCTACCTGGTCTTTGTTTGGGGCTGGATGCAAAGACCAGATTCTGTAAATAGCCTCCAGAGATGTTCTAGGGAGATAGTCAAGCTTATCATGCAGAGAGACTCCCTGCAGGGCTCTCCACATCTCCCCCTTTCTTATTTAGAAAATTGACCATCAATTGTTGGCTGCTCTTTTTAAGGGGGTGACAGAGGCTCTGTTCCTCTAATGGCCCAGGGTTTTTCCCCTCTCCGAGCGAGCGAGAGTCCTCACTCGGGGAGGGGAATTTTACAGGCCTTAGCATGTTTTTTGAGGAGACGGCTTGTGGGGTATGCCAACCGTCAAGCACTAGAGCTTGCCACTCAGGGGTCTTGGGTTTTGGGATCTCGCGGATCCATCCCCCTGCAGTCTTACCTGCACCCTTGATTTGAGCATTTTTTCTTCCTCCCATAGGTGCATCCTCCCCCAAGCGGAGGGGCCTATAGGCGGAGGGGCGAACCTATCCCTTATGGCAATAGGTCTTGCCCGTTGAATGGTCAGGAGTTATGAATAAGAAGGGTTTTCTCAATAAGAAAAATGAAGGCGGGGTGTTTCCCACTGGAACAAGCTCATGGCAAAACACTAATTAAAAGCCTGGGGTAGATCCTAGATCTTAATGCCGCGGTCTGCCATATCAAGGCGATGGTGACGAACCTGTATGGGTTTAGAAACCAAGAGATTAATCTGTTATTTAATAAATTCAAACAGGAAGGTCCAAGTCTGGAGTTCTAGTTGCATCTGTAAGAGAAAAGGAATCATCCTCAGGGGGAAGGTTTCCCCTGGATTGTGGTAAGCCTTTAACCTGTTTTATCAAGTGTTCTGGCAGCCACCTTGGGGCTGCTTGTACTTGATCTAAAAGACAAAGAGTGGTAGGGAGTGGTCTACCTGTAGCTTGGGAGGACATTGCCCCTTGGCTTTGTTTGCCGAAGGGACATTCACCTGCAATTACAATTAAAGCAAGTACTCAACTGGGGACTGAACTTTGAAATGCCTTGGTAAAGGCAGGGCCTATGACGAGCCCCATGGCATGAGCAGTCCCTACTCCAGCACAAAGCCTGAGGAACTCAGAGAGGTCACCCTTGTTTTTATATGGGCAGAGGACATCTTGACATGCCGGGTTAGCATTTTCAAAGGCAAGATGTTTAACAAAGGCACTCTCACTTTCACTAGGCCCAAGAAGCCTTTCCGCAGCCAAGTTAAGCCACTAGACAAAGACAAAGTCACTGTAGGGTTCATCTGGCCCCTGTCTAACTTTTGCCAGGGAAGTAGTAGCTGATCCCTTTTGAGGGAGACGCTTCCAAGCATAAAGGCCAGCGTTTTGAATTTGTGCCAAAAGTCCAGTAGGAAAGCGCGCCTGTTTAGCATTGGTATCAAAGGGCACATTACCCAAAAGTTTAGTATAGCTCCAGGTTTTTGAAGATGTTTTAGCCAAATTTTTTTGTGTGGTCTCTCTACATTATTCCTTAAAGTCCGCATTCCATAAAAGAAAATCACCCCCACTAAGGGTGGCGCGGGCCAGGAACTTCCAATCATTAGGGGTGAGCCAGCGCGCACTTTGGTTTTCTAACAAGGCTATCGTATAAGGGGCAGTCGGACCATATTGGGCACATGCATTTTTAAGCTTTTCAACAAACCGGAGGCTAAGCCTCTTATACTCTTGTTGGCCTTTTCCCTGGGTGGATTGATCCTCTTCATCCCCAGTATCCTGTTCCTCATCCTCCTTTTCCTCCTCTTCTGATTCATCCTCCTCACCCTCTGAGGTCCTATCTGTCTGGCTCCGAGTTACTGGAAAGGCGAGAACTGATTGATGGCCTGATCTAACCTTAATTTTATCAGGTGTTTTTGGCATATCGGCCAAGGCCAGTATGCGGAGTTCATAATCAAGGGACCGCAGTTCTTTTAAAAGTTGAAGGTGTTCTCGCCTATGTTGAAGAGTCTCGCATAAAGGTGCCAGGTTAGGTAAAGGGGGGGA